CAATTAAATTTATCTATTTAACACTAACACTAAAATTAATATTAATTTTTTACTTTTTATATACATTTATAATAAAAAAATACCCTTAACACGTGTCTTAAAAAGTAAGCTAAAAAAATCATTTATTTATTTGAGAGTTATGATATTAAATGTATTTACTCATTTAATAATATGTAAAAATTATATAAAAATGTCATACAAAAAATTTTTTTAACACAAATTTATTAAAAATGTATTTATTATATTTTTAACTTATATCTTTAGGATATATGTTAAACAAATTCATGAATAAATAAAATTAAGTATTTAAATAATATATAAAAATAATATAAAAATTATCCTTATATTATTTTTAATTAAATTAATATTTATTAATTTAGAAATTTTAATATATCAAGGTCAAGGTCAAAATTGTGCGTTGCCCATCAGTAAACCCTTAAAAAAAAAAAAAAAAAAACACACCGCTGAAGTCCGTTGCGTAATCATAGGGTAACATGTTTTTTTTTTGGGTACATGTAACATGCTTTTTTTTTTACAACAAACCCAGTAACGCCATTTAATACACGCCACGTGTAAAAGCGAAATGTAATGATTTCGTACCTGATGGAAGCCGGGATGTTGGACGAGAGGCACGCCGATCTCGGTGATGCAAGCCCATATCCTTTGATCAGAGCCGTAGAAATAGTAGTACCTGTCCAGGCAGCCGTCCAAAATGCTTACCAACTTCTCTGCCAACGGGTAACTCACGGCAAACCCTCCGCCGCCAAACGCCATGCCGTACGCGTGCATCACGTCCTGCTCCACGCTCTCCGAGTTCCCCCCTATGTACCACATCTCACGGTGATCGTACTTCGCCAACACGGAAACAAGGTTCTCAGTGAAATACACCGTATCGTCGTCTCCCATCACGAACCACCTCACGTTCGGCAACTTCTGGTTAAAACTGTCCCGGATAATTCGGGCGATTCGAACCGCCGATCTGGAGCTCGAGAACTTGAACCTGGTCCAATCCGGAGATGACACGCGATACTCGGGACCGTAAATTTCGTTGTTACTGTCGTTGATGTTGCGGGGATTTTCATCGAGCCAGACGACGCCACGTGTGGTGTTTGGTTCCCACCAGAGGGAACTGTAAACCCGACGAGTGTTCCATGTTTTGGCGGAGCCGCCGATGCCGAAGAGGACATGGGAGATGTTTGTGGTAGTGGGGTGAGGATCGCCACCGGCGTCCCGGTACGGGACAGATTTGAACCGGATGTAGGGGGACCGAGGGTAAAAGGCTATGAAGAGAACGAAAGAGATGGAACTGACCAAACAGACAAGGACGGCGATTCGAGTGGCGAGCACGAATATGTCCCGTACCTTCTCCGGGTACACGAAGAACATCGACGATTTAAGCGGGTCATGACTCGGGCCGTGACTCATTCTTTTTTTTTTTTCTAAAACTGCCCCCTACTCGCCGGAGAAACCGACAGCCGTCGCGCAATCGGAATATTCTGGAAACACTGTAACTCGGAGAATTCCGAGAAAACCCAAATTAATTAACAGAAACTCCTGAAAGCGGTGAAGCCTTGTCAAGATTTTCTGCATTTACAGCCAATATCGAAGTAGATGATTCATCCACTGGGGAACGTGTCGATGATGAGGATAATGGCATTTGTTTCGTAGTACACTTCGTGGCGGTGGTGTATGTGGACAAGGGCTGAGGTTATTCCACCATTAAACTTGTTAAATAACCTTCCACAGAATTAGTTTCATTTTTTAACTTTATAAGCAAATTTTTATACAAAAATTTAATATATTATATAAGAAAGGAGGAAATTAGGGTTACATTAAAAATATTAAGGTATTTAATCATAATTATTAAATATATAAAATATAATATAAATTTTAAATTTATCAATTTTATCATGTAATTATTATTAAATATTTTAATATTTTTAATATTATAATGTCTTAATTTTTTTATATTATTTATAATAATTAAAATTTTTTATTAAATAAAAATATTTGACTAAAATTTTGTAGAGTGGAAATTTTTTAATTATTATTTATATAAATTATTAAATTTTTAATTCTAATTTATATACATAATTAAAAATTAAATTAAATTTATTAAAAATAATCTGAGCCTCTGCTTCCTTCTTCTCTCTCTTTAAAAAATAAATATAAACAAAAAACTATTTGAATCATAATTAATGTTAAAAAATAATTATAAAATGACAAAAACCTTTCTTAAACCCCTAAACTTACCTCAAAATAACATTTAAATTCCTAAATTAAAAACAAAGCAAATAAACACTTTAACTCTATTAACAATATAAATAAACTCTTTTCATTAATGGGTATTCATGCTTTCAAGGTAATTTTAAATATGAAATATTATTTAGCTCTTTTGTAAGAAAAGTTTATTTGCATCATCAATGCAGTTAGAGGGCTTATCTATTTCGTTTTTAATTTGAAGACTTAAATGCCATTTTGGAGTAAGTTTGGAGGCTTAAGAAGGGTTTTTGCTTTATAAAATTAAAATAAAAATGATTGTGTTTTTTAAAATAAAAAAACAACTACTATTCTAACATAAATTATAAATAAAAAAAGACTTATTCTTAAATGAAAGAAGTAATTATTTGTTAAACAACTATTTACTCTCTTTATTCATTTTTAATAAAATAGAAATGTAATAATTTATTAATAAAATTTATTTTTTATTACTAATAAATAAGATTTTCTATTTAATAATATTATAATTATTTTTAAAAAAATAAAAGTAAAATAGAAATACATGTATTAAATAAT